TTGCGATTGAAGCCTCAAACTATGGGATGACTTTTTCCATCCAAATGCAAATCTCTTTCCCAAGACTTTCAGTTGGCCCTACATGCACTCACTCTTGGTTGTGAGAGACTGAAGGTAACGGAGGGTTTTGACTACGTGAGTAGTTGCATCACAACCAATGGAGCTATTGGAGACCAGATTTCCATGCGTGTCTCAAGAGCTCGCCTCGCTTCCTATAAGCCGAAGCACTTGTGGCGCCACCATGACATCGGTATATACATCAAAAGACGGGCTTATTGTGCGACTGTCCGTGCTGTACTGTTGTACGGTTGCGAGACTTCGCCTGTTCGTATTGCTGACCTGCGCCGTCTTTCAGTCTTAGAGCACTGTTGCTTGCGGTCGATTACTCGTGTGTGGCCGTTGCACCACGTAACCAATGTGGCAGTTAGACAGCGTGGCTTGGGTGGAAGCAGCCATTCACTGGAGGAGTTCGTCCCGCTGCGTCAGTTGCCGTGTCTTGGACACGCACTGCGTATGCCCGGTCATCGTCTTCCGTGTCGCGCGTTCTTCGCGGTTGCTGAACAGGCGCGGTGGACAACTTACGACCTGGAGAAGCCACACTAGAATTGTCGAGTGACGCATCAACCCCCCCCGGGTTTTCGCCCAAAGTACCTAAATCATGTATGCTGCTGTGGGTTTTGCAATGAACAAATCTGACAAAGCCATGTTACACAATAAAAGAGCAGTGGTACTCCCCTCGCGCACTCTGGGATTTGTGATACCGTTGTACAGTCGCAAGTACTGTGACTATCACTATTTATGTGTATTTGTTTACTGTGTAACTAGTCGATCGTCAGAACTAAGCGGACAATGCTGACGTACGTCCTTACTGAATATTCATGTTCATTTTTATAGTTCTATTTGAGCGTTCATACGAAGGACAAAATGGCTAGTTCCATTTCAGCAAAGCCAAAGGCATTCACTTTTAAAGAAATGGTATCAGTGATTCGACGATGTTAAGAAGGAACCGTTCGCTAACATTGGTGCAAAATTTCAGAGTTTGCAGAACACAAATCCATGTAACATAAAAGAGGAAAGCCGTTTTTGTATGACTTTGTGAATCACACTCCAAGACTGGAAAGAATGGTAGAACAATGGGTAACGTAGACATGAACGCACCTTGCTGGAAATAGAGCCAGTCAGCACTGTCGGTAAAATCCCATTATCTGGACACGTGATTAAAGAGCGAGCATAACACTTCGTAAAAGAATTACACTACACAGACATTACATCGTCAAACAGTTAGCTAGAGGCTTTCATCAGTAGACGATCTTGTGTTTGGTAAGCAATGGGCTGAAAGCGGTGACTCAGATATGTGTGCTGCATCCGACTAGGCAGAAAAATTGCCCGAAATATGTTCCGGCTGCACAGCTCAAGACATTTTTAATTCACATGAAACTGCTTTGCTATTCAAAACGACGTCAGATAAAGACTTTGTGTAAAAGGATAGAAATGCGCAGATGGGAAAATAAGCAAGGCTTTTATCACAGTTATGCTGTGCACTACCACATTGGGGGATCGAGAACCGGCTGCAGTGATTTGGAAATCAGCCAACACTCGAATTTTAGAAATATCAACATGGAAAACTACCAGCAGTTTACAAGGATAAAAAAGCATTGATGAGTGCAGCTATTTCCGAAGAGTTAACAGCAAAATACAGAAAGACGCAGCATTATACCTTCTCTCGACAAAGCCGTTGCCCTCCCTAATTCCACCTACTTAATATCCAATTGCAGTTCGTGTCACCCAACATCACTGTGTTACTTCAACCGTACGGCCAGGGGGTCATTCAGGCGCTTAAACCGGAGTTTAGGAAAAAAACTTCGCCATCTCATAACAATCATGGAATCTCACAAAGATATGTCCCGAACTGATTTCATGCAACGAGGAAGTTTATTAGACGTGGTGTTCTGCATAACTTCTACCTGGTAAGAGGTGCAGAACTCAACCATCTCTATTTTTTTAGAGCGGGGTTTCCTTCTACTGCAGAAATAGGTTCTCGAGAACAATGCAAACTTGACCTGAGACATATGAGCAAATTGTGCCACCTTCAAACGCAATTGTTATGGACACGCTCTCAGAGGAATTGTTTGGATGCAAACTGGCTGACAGCCATCTGGTTGATTCTTATTTCTAAACATGTCACACAACAGAAATAAACTGGGACCTGCCAACCACATCAATTTTAGCAGCTGAGCAAGTGAATAATGAATCCGACTACCAGCATAAAAAGGATTCTACAAACGTCCTGATAAGTATACATTCACAGACGCACAGCGTGAAGTTGATATTTCGCGCTCCTACGCAATACATATCGGACACACTGGCATGCTTGCACTACTTCTGGACGTGAGGGAGAAACTAAATTCATTTCATTTCAATTGCCAAGCAACAGAACACTATATATGATATTTTTCCATCTGGTGGATAATTATTATGACAATAGAAATGTGTGTATGACTTTTTAAAGGTTGTGGATTTCGACGATTTGCAGATCACTTTCTAAACTGTTGACTCACAATCTGTGAGATTATCGCATTGTTATCATTCATCTATCCCACATGATGCACCACTATTGAGATTGCAAATGACGGCGGCCTTGATAGCACGTTCGTGACAAACAACTTCGTCGGTGTTCTGCAATTAAAGTCATAGTGAATTACGCGCAGATTGCCATTTCTGACAACTTAACTGTGTGAAGCGGGGTTTTCTTCAGTGTCAGCAGCGGAAACAAACTAATGAAATTAACTGGACCTAGGCAACACACATCAAGCGTAATTGTCCCCTAGTTCCCTCAGATGGAGCAGTCTCATTGCAGCAGAACACGCTGTAGGACAAGTAATTGCTAGTAAATAAGTGCGGATATCAGAAGGCAATTGGGCTCGGACACTGCGGACTATATTCGATGGGCTACAAGATGACGCGGACGGATGAAGTAAGGCAGGAGGTACACGTTAGCGTGGGAACTTACAAGGCGGTCGAATGTCAAGCCGGTTGTAAGGAAGATTAAAAGAAGAATGTACAATTCGTCCACAATTACTTTGTACATGAAAGATAGCAGTTATCTTTATGGGTGCTACAGAGCTCCCCCATAGAAGGCTGAACATAGAAAGTTTTCGATTTCCAAAAGCACTGTTGAATCGAGGTTCGTAAGTCAAAATCGTGCCGAGTAAAATTGAGCGAGCGTTCGTGTCAAATGGGGGTTCGCGGGAAGTCGGAGTCCACTGTGCCGTTTGTGATTTGTTATTTATTGATTGCAGGGCATGGTGCATTTGGGCGAGCCTTTGGAGCGGGCTTGTCGAACAACAAAATGAACTGGCTAGTCCAGAATATGTTCGATAAGACCTCAAAATCCGCTGCTACCGAACGGTGCGCTTATGGGTGGTCTTTCCCCCTGACCTCACCCCGCGCCGCGCCAAAAGTATCCTCGTCCCAAGGAGAGGCTTCTATCGTCTCACGTAATAACGACCGTCGTCTTACAGAGAAGTAACCCACGGCATGCGAAGAAGTGACACTCCTCCCGCGGAGAAGAGAAGCGAGTCTAGCGGAGAAACGACCAGTGTTCGCGTCTTTTCTTCGAAAACATTCCTCGTGTGGGTCAGTCGATCGAAGTGGAGGGTTGGGGAGTGTAGGGACGAGAAAATAGAACAACTTTTGCAGAAAATGCCAAAAAGATTGAACGAATTATCTGCGTGTTTAGATTTTTAGGTTTTGTATATCTTTTTATAAAATTTTTTCGGAGGTATTTGATTTTTTCATTTGTTTTCAAAAAGTCAATCGACTAAACACGGGACAAACATATACACTTTCTCCAGAGCTATACGTATTTACACTGCACATAGTCGGAGAAACAAACCGGCTTACGCACCTCTTGACCACGGCGATGGGTCGTGGGAGTCGGCGGGCTAGATTCAGGAGATGTCGGAACGGCTGATGCTGGTAGACTGAGATCGAAGTCTGCTTGAACTACACTAGGATGCTTAAAGCTGTTGCGGTGAGCTGGGACGTTGTACGAGGCACTACTAGACGAAGTGGTTTCTTCCATCAAGACCGGCTTTAGACGGTCAATGGTGACGACTTCGCTTCGGCCACCGCAGTTAATGGTGTACGTTTTATTCGTGTGTTGTAGCACTTTGAACTGTCCTATGTACGGCGACTGAAGACGCTGTCGAACACCGTCTACACCAAAGACGTGTGAGCATGTAGATAGCTTCTTAAGCACGTACACTGGTGTCTTCTGCGATTGCGGAGCGGGTGGACGTAGCTCGCGCATCTGGTGAGCCAATCGATCGGTGTAAATACCGTGGTCAAAAGAGGAAGTAGATGGTCTGGTACCACCAGCTGTCCAGGCAACCGCAGCATGTAGCCGTATAATAGCTGCGCTGATGTTGCATCGAAATCGGTTTTAACTGTGTTTCTTAAGCCTAGGAGGACGAGGGGAAGTGTTTCAAACCATGAAGGATCTGCGTGCACCCGTAGCGCTGCCTTCAACTGGCGGTGAAAACGCTTCCCCATGCCGTTAGCGGCCGGATAATAAGCCGTAGTCTGAAGGTGGCGACAGTCTGACTCCTTAAGCAAAGTGGCAAACCTCCCGTAGCGTAAAAGTTGTGTCCCATGCGATCTAATCCAGGATGTCATCTACGTCTTCCTCCAACAGTATCCGCTTACGACCGCGCACTTGCGTAGTACTCGGCTCCTGCTCAACGGGCGACGCATCCAGGAGTAGGCTGTTTGACATTTGACGTTGTTCACAGTTGGCACCAGCTGCCAGTCCTCACCGTTGACTGAAGCGCCAAAATCTCGGTCGCGAATGTCTGATGTGATATTCTGTCAAACGCGAGAATGCATGAAGACGACGTTTAAATCCTAGCCATAGTTGCAGTCGTGCGCCTATATTCCGGCTCTTCATTTCTCTCAGACCAATTGTGGTCCACCGTTTTGGACGTGAGAGGGGCGCATACCAGCACGTCGCATCGCCAAAGCCCATGCCTCTAAAGTTCATTTACAAGTCTCATCCAGTCAACAGGCAGCATTCTCATCTCCCCAGACTAAAGCACTGATTCTTGGCATCCGGCCAATGAGAACACACTTACGATCCGAGGTTTGGCTCTGAGCGGCTGGCGAATGATACAGGGTTTTGCAACCTTTTGCACTCTTTTTGCAAAGGTTTGTACATTCTTTGCAAAACTTTGAACTTTTATGCAACTTTGCGGAAACGCTATAGACTTATGAGGAGGGAGGCAACTGGGAGCAACTTGCATGTTTACTAAACGTCAACGCGAAAAGCTGCTGCAGTTGGCTACGAGGACTGGAATAAATCGAACAAAGAGTGATGCATGTTTATGTAACGACGATATATCTGGCAGAAAGCGACATTAATCATCTGGTAGAATCGGTACCGTCTGAACTCGCGGGCAAGCTCCGAACACTTTGCCAGCCGTAGAAAGCAGAGTACACGCCAGAGGTGAACGTTACCAAAATAGCACGACATATGGGCGGAGGGCTTATAACAATGAAGAGATAACACGCAGTTTTTGAATCCACGAACACAGGTGAACAAAAAACAAAATTCAACGTCTTGGCAATACTGCAATCGAAGTTCGAAGATGTGGGTTGATGAAACAAATTTCAATCTTTTTTGTCCTCGCATTAGAGGCTGTTCACATTTAAAGTCATATGGGTATCTCTGGGCGGCTGGCGCACCGAACAGTGTTTTACAAATTTTGGCCATTTTTGCAAACGTTTTTACTTTCTTTGCAGTTTTGCGCACCTTTCTCAAAACCTTGGTTTTGTATGCAACTTTGCTGGAAATACTATATTATTCTGCTATTGACCGCAGCGGAGCGGATCTGACGGTTACTTTTAAGCTATCCTGATTACAGCAAGCTTTAAGTCACCTAGTTGATTTACATATTTGTTGTTAGGAGAACAGCTATTAGACATTCATTTATTGTGACCGAGCGTGATAGCTATTCTTTACTCTTCCTGTTTTCTATTTCTTGACTGTTGTTTAAACGCTCTACTGGGTTCGCCCGATCGGTACAGCCGCGTCATTGTTAATGGACGCTCATCGTCATGTGCTTCTCACCAGCGCTGTTTGCAAGAACATATGCTATTGGATTTCTTCTCATCACTGTTCTACTTGGTTACGTTAAAGGAATATTTAGTGTCACACAATTATTGTACTAGTTTTCAACTTTTGGGTCTGCATTTCTTATTCTCGTTTGTTTCGTTACTTTTGTTTAAACGTTTCATTTCGTCATTCTGATTGGCCAATGCCCGTCACTGTAAAGGGTCGTGCGCTTTACGCTTGGAGTCCAATGATGCTATTTTTAAGGACCTACGCGATTCGCTCTTGAGTACACGATTGCTTATTCGCCGTTGCATTTGACGATTTTCTTTCACTTGGTTGGCTCAAGTGTACTTTAGTAGCTTCCCATCATTTTTTCCTCCAAGCTATATAAGCAACTGTGATTTTGTGTATACAAGTCTCCTTCTGGCTCGTCTTGGACTTCTTCTTGCGGTCGTGGGGTGAAGGCGTCAACGGTGACACATTTGCCATATCCACTTTAAATTGGGTTTTTTGCAATGCAAAATATGCTGTTTGTCAAGCACTTTTTACACACTGGATTTAAAGCAGAAAAGAAACAATTCGTTTGCAAGAAATGAGGGGCAAGGCGACTAGACGATGTTTAGACTACATTGTATTCATGTTAATGCAACGAAATTGTGTAACAAGCGAGTAACACTGCAAATTCTTTTGTGGATCTTGAACATTTATCGCTTCGATCAAAGCGGTGACTGAGTGTCCCTTATCTCCCCTATGTTTTCGCATAGTTTATGTGGTTCCTACTTTATACATGGACTTGTTTAGCTGTGTGACCATTGGAAAGTCAGACTCCCCAATCGCTTAGTCAATCATGATTTAGACTAATGTCATCTAACATCGGAGGGTCATTGCCAAGCACCCGTTTTGGGAATGGGCCACGATTGCTATTGAATTAAACCTTGTCCGATTCGATCATTTGGACCGTAACTGATGAATCAAACAGGCGGCGATCCAGTTGTCCCCTGTAACTCTATGGGTCTTCATGTATTTTGTGCAGGCAAACATATTTAACTGATCGATTATTGGAGCGGTTCAGACTATCCTGACTTCATTATAATCAACATATATTTATAGCGTTGTGCTGCACCTAACGAGCAAAATAAGCAACATGTGACTAGAAGCCACATCTTTGATGCCGAGGCGATAGTATTTGTCACGGAAAAAGATGCTCACCGAGCTTGCGTTCCTCAACGGCTAAAGCACCTACGGAGCTGCTGAAGCCGCGAATTTTAACAAGCGCATGACAAGGAACATCATCAACTCCTACTGGAACAAATGCACGAATATCGACGCAAGAACATGTAAAAGCTAAGCCCCCTTGTATCCTACAGCGTGTGGATGTGTGAGTCAAACAGCACTCCGAGGAGATTTTGGTTTAGCTACAGCGGCGTCTGAGTGAGATCGGTATCTACCCACCCTTACTTACTGTCTCCAATGCTAACAGGCTACGGCTAACGCTCAACAAACTTCACTACGAGCAGAGCCGTGCCAACAGTGCCTCGACCGTCGCAATCTGACAGACATAGCCTATGGACATCTCAGTACACGCCCAATTCTTTCATGCTAGCTTCGGCAATTTGGTTTAAATATGCCTAGTTTGGCAGGAAATTAGCGTATTGACAAGAAACAAAAGATTCACATTAAGCACGTTCAGATACTGAAGGACTGTCCAGCTGCTGCGTTTGTCAGGTTCAGCATCATATTGAGGACGCAGTTCGTATTGTCTTGCTGGATAACCGTCCCAACTCTCTCTTGAATGACTCCGCTTGACGTCTGGTCAGAAGTACGATTTGCCAGCCGGAGTCTCGCCGACATTTTCACATTCACAAAAGGATGGTCTACTAGGTTTAGCATGAATGAGTAGGGCGGGAGGCACTTCAGCTAATATTATGAGCTTCTTTATAGATCATTCGGCAGGTGGAGCTTGGAGTTGTCCATGATCAGCCACGCCCCCATTCATTTATACTGCAGCGTATACGCTCCACAAGTACTTTGTTGAACATGCAGATCTTTCCAAAGTTGAATTTGGAGAATCCGCTGGTGGCTGGGTTGCTACAAGCAACCTCAATTGAGACCTCGGTTCACTTGATGTGGACCTCGCAGATCTTTCCACTATTGCAAATGCCATCACTGATTATATTTGAGAAGACGAGCGATAAGTTATTCATTGCCAAAATCCCTTTCACTTTTCGGACTCTTACTGTAGGCAAGAGTCGTTCGCGTGCTTCCCTATCCTTGAGCGAGCCTGAGTCCGGCGCATTTGAAAATTGAACCCGCTCTCATCTAGGATTATGCGTTTCGGTTTGTCATTCGGTGCATGTACTGTAAAAGCAAGAGCCGCAGTATGCTGGCTTGCAATGGTCGTGCTACTGTTGTCGCGGTCTAACTCATGTTGACACTCCTTGAGCCTTATCCTCAACGCCCTGAGAGAGTTGAATACAATAGATAAAGAAAGGTAGATCCAGATCTCCCACAGCTGCTGCAGTAGCTGCACCGGAGTGACTATGGAAAGCCATTGGGCGGTTTCCTCAACACCCTGCAGAACATCGGGAGTCAGCTACTCACTGTTGCTTCGTTCACATCTGCTCTGAGTGTTCATGCCTTCCCTCCTGTAGACAGCGATGCTTCTTGCCTTGATTTCGTTCATATCGACGACTTTAGCAGCTTTGTAGGTGGTTAGGTCCTCGTCGAACGTACACTTAGTGAGGATCTTTTTCTGCGCTGATAAAAGTATACTTGACTGCATCCGGGCTGCAATCTGTAGGGGCTAGGCGAAGTCGAAAAAGTCAACGCACACATAACCTCTCGACGCACGCTCACGTACCATGAAACACTTAATCGGACTGCTCTTAGCGTACTGTTGCCTGCGAACCAGTCAAGCAGAGATGATTTAGCCATGGCACTCAGTGAATCTACAACACCAGATTCGCCAGAGGCGGCAGATTCCGCGTCTCCGGAAAACCGAAATAGGTATTCGGCGTCAGGGCTTACCGGAGAAGTTATTCTAACGACGGAGCTAGAGACTTGTAATCTGGTCTCTGGAAGGTAACAGATGCCTACCGAGGCCATATCAGGAGAAAGTGCCTGACATGCTTTTCATCCAATCTGCATCAAATTTCGAACATTAAACGCTGCGAGGATGAATGAAGAACTTAATCGAAGAAGAGCTGAAGATTCGGTGGAGTGAGAGACTGTTGCGATCGCAGGAAATTAAAAGCCGGAAGTTTGGCTGTTATTTCTATCAGTTGCGAGACGTGGGTCGTTTGTGACAGTGACCGGAGCAGACATAAGAGTACATGTAGTTGAAGGACGGGTGCTGGGTGATCTGTGAGCGTAGGTTAAGCAGTTGAGTTAGCAGAGATGATAGGCATAGCAATAGCAGTAGTCAGCAGTGTGGCCCATGATTTCTCATTGGGCGTGATACAACCAAGTTGCCAAGGCCGAACTAGAGGGTCGTCTTAAGGAGCCCTACTCAGTGCCTTTGATCAAATATCTAACCTACAATGCAGTAGCGCGATGTAAATGCGTCACAACCCGTTGGGAACTGGTGACCAAATAGATGGTTCATGCGCCTTTCGGTCCGTGAAGGACCAGGGGAACAACGCAAGCTTGAACTACAATGCCTCTAAGGTAGGGCCAAGGGGCAGGGATGTTATTTATTAGCGAGTCACATCCGCCAATTCGCAGTGTTGTTTAACAGATATTTGTGGCTTTTATAGGAAGAAGTATTGCCAGGCGAAAACCCACCACATCCTGGAACACTGCCGCGAAAGCATTTGTAGGAACAGGAAACACCCAAACCATACAGCTGGCACCACGTGGAGGTTGTTCGGCAAGCCAGCCGAACAGTGCTGTTAGCCGGTTG